ATACATATCTGAAAACTGAGCATGTGGTGTGGAGTTCTTTCATCCAGCATAAAAGGCAGAGTGACATATAGAAACACTAACTCTGATTTCTCAGCATGATTCTGAAAGCCGGTTTCAAGTAAAAGCTCTTTGGAATGGAAAAGCCACCAGGAGCTTGTGCCTCCCCTTATAAATGTAAGTACCGTAATTCCCCGAGGCCAGAAACTCTGGATTCTCAAAAACCAAGGTGAAGATTGGCTTCCACTCACATATGTTTCCAAAATGGAACAAGTGTAGAAGCATTCCTTTATCTCACCTAAACAGCAAGCTACATCTCAAGCGCTTACCATGATTTCTCTGCATGTTTACTTGAGTAGATTTAAAGCTAAAAGGGTTTTTCGCTCAGAAACCTAGTTAGAGCTTATTCCTGCTGTTAAACATATAAGTAGGGCAGTGCCCCAACACGACAATTCTGTTTCCAGCAGTGCTGGTGAAGGATTGCTTCCACACACATTCGGTTTTCTCTCCTCCTCATTCTTCTGCTTAGACATCAAAGCAGGTTGTGTATTGTGGAAGCCAAGGAAATTTTTTTCATTTATGATCAACCTCGGAAAAAACTGAGACCTGCTTCTGCTTCTTTTCCCTGCTAGATTTCCTCTTGGTGCATTTCAAATCCTTAAGAGTGAGTTCTTTTAACCAATTAATTATTTCAAAAAAATGAGCAGGTTTCCATAGGGCAATAACTTCTTTTATATTCTTGCTTTTTAATACCTCTCTTCCATCTCTTTATCTCCAGGTGTCTTATTTCTATGTCCTTTGGTTTGGGCTGATGGCTAATCAGCATTAGTGTAGAAATTGTTGCCTGATATTACTGATCTATATTCTTTCCATGGATATTTGATTTATCATTGGATTTAGGGAAGATAGTTTCTTTAAAAAAATTCTTGTAAGTATCTTGTGGGGGATTCTGATTCTCTTGATCTAGAATTATAATGCTTAATTTCTGAATAAGTGATACTTTCATAGAGCTCAAAATTCCAAAGGTTTGAGGGCCACCACTGTCCCGAAGCCTTTCAAACTTTTCTTTCGGGGCACTCAGATCTGCGTGTGTGTGTGTGTGTGTGTGTTTGTGTCCTTCT